TACGCAAATCTTAAACATAAGAATGTTAGTAAAACGGGCCCAAGTCCTTATCTCGTTAAGCCAGTTTCGGAATGCATCGATTCTTTAAACAAGGGGCTACTTGTTCCATTCTCGGACGAAGGGATATTTTTGCCGGACTGTCTAATGGTCCAGCGAGTAATACGGTAAATAAACGGGCCGAAATATTTTATGATACATGTAGATCAAAGTTTAACAGATGGATAATCAAATACGTCTGCTGTGGCATTATATTTTTATTTGCATTTCATTTTTTTTCCAGAAATTTGTTTGCTTGTTATAGATCATTCATGAAAATTATAGCCTGACTACCGTTTTGAATACGGTAACAAGATAGCCATTCTCAATCATGATTTTAAAAAACAAACACTTTTTTCTGAAAATGAATTAAATCAGTTTTAAAATTTTGATGTGCTAATTTATTTATTTCAGTGTAATTTACTTTAAGATTGTTAGTTCATTTAAAGTCATATTCTTTATCAAATAAGCGTCTAGATTACCACGAGCACTAAATGGAAGTTCGGCAATTTTCGTCACATTCTTTAACAAATAAGCGTTTACATAATCAGGAGAAATAAAATGGAGATTCGGCACGTTATTTATGCAATTTTATAACATGTATTAGTAATACAGAATTTTGTATTACCTTCGGCTTACGCCTCTAGTTTTACCATATATGTTATCATCAAATCTTATAAAACTGTTTAATGGATTGAACATGTAGAAATTGAAAAAAATATGAAGATTAAAAAAACAAAAGATATATTTCAAAAGACACGCAAAAGTTGTCAGTGTCATCCAAATTGATACATTTTGAATCAGTTTGCATTAAAACTAAAGTTGATTAAATCACGACGGTTAAATGATTAATGAACACACGTCATTGAATGCGCTAGAAAGTTTAAAAGCCATTCACGCATCTCTTGGGCTAATGGTATTAATTTTATAAAATGAATGAAACAGAAATTATTTTGTCGAGTGTACTCAAATGAAATAATATTAGCATGAAAAAGGCTGTTACAATCCAAAATTTACGTCGCTTGATTATTGAAATGCGTGTGCGAAAAAAAAGTCCAATGTCCCTTATTGGGAAAACATCCCCCCACCAACCCGGCAATCCCTTATATAGTCCCTTAAAAGTGCAGATAGACTAATATTGGATTATAAAGATTGAAGGGAAATATATCACACGTGCAGGTTTGAAATTTACATATTGTTATAAAAGTGTGTAAAATCAGTTATGTTTAGTATAAAAAAAAAACATAAAATAAAAACATATAATTTGATCAGCGATATGCGTTAAGTTTAAAGCGGCCTAACGCTTTAACTTTTCGTTGGAAAATCACATCACTATTTGCTTAATGAGTGTCCATCACTGTTCGCGGCAGTGACGTTAAAATAAGAAGAAAGATAAAGAGCAAACCTGTGTATTAGAGGTATCGCGTAGTCTCCCATTTTAACTAAGTCAAATTTCATTTACCACCTTAATTCTTTTGATTTAACAATTATTTGAAACGATTTATCCAAAAATAACATATTTAACTTTTTGAAAATGCTGAAGGCCGCTTTAATGTTCTCGGAAACGTTTTAGACCCACATATATATTTAATAACTTATTTATCTTAACATCACTTTCCATTCAACAATATATAATAACTTTTAAGAAGACAAAAAAAAAATCAATATATAGATCTCGCTTCTTAAGAAAGCGTTTTGACTACTTTGAAAGGAAATATTCAAATACCAAATGGAGAAGTCGTGTTTGTATTTAGTTAACGGACGTTGGCCTCATAATTATTTTTAGGTCACTGACATATTAAAAAAAAAAACTACCGAGTAATTTTTGTATTATACAATAGTCATTTTTTTTCTATGAAGCCGTTTAATATTAAAGGCCCATTGTGCTTCAAAAAATTTCTCTCTTTTTCTTCTTTTTTGGAACTTTTACTATTTATTGTAAAATTACCTGAACTATCATTAGACGCCGCGTGCACGTCTAGTAGTTATGCATTTGTCCGTACGGCAATGGGCGAAGTTTTATACTTGATTTTGTGTATTTTTTGTTTTAAAAAAATCTCAATTGATGTTTTTAAGTTTTCTAATAAAAATAGCTTTCCTGGTGTACAACATGTCCAAGAGCTTTAAGGGTTTAGAATAAACGTTTAACTGAAGTGATAGTGCCATGTTTGAATAGCATATACTTTTTTTTCATTATCTAATTTTATCTACATAATTAATAACGTGCAAATGAGCCAGTCTAGAGTCGATCGTTCTAAAAATTAACCGTTGAGAGAGGTAACGACTGAGGCAGTGTCACTCACTTCATTTGCTCCGCCTCTGTTGAAGTTCGGCTCCGCCTTAAATTTTTGCCAAATTTAATATGATGCTCCGTATGCTAGCATTTATTCTGTGTTGACGGGGCGAAGGGAACCAGGCCAACTTCTGATCACATAACTTGTCGAATCATTAAATAACAAGTAACAAAGCCTAAATCACGAACGCCCACTATCAGAGAGGCGGTTCTCCCTCAACCTTTAAGAAAGTACGCCAAACTTTGCGCACCGGTTACGCTACGGTCAGTTAGGGGAGATCACTGTGGAACAGTTCGTCCTCGAAATTTTTCGAACATGATGTAATTCGTACCAATATTTAAATGGACATATTCTCGGCACATATTGTCTTGAATTTATTTTAAGTATACCAATCATTTCAATTATACTTGTTATACAATATATTTTGCTTCGACCAGTCTATCCAATCTTTGTCGCAACAGACAATCATTTCAGAATTTACGACATGGCATAACTTTGTGAATTTATGCATTAGGTTCAACATCTTCACAAAAATATGTAACTTGATTATAAACAACGAGCACATACCAAGAACATGTAGCAAAAGTTGATTTGTGCTTCGGATATTCATCTGTAATAGAGAACAATTTTCAATGCTGATTGACTGTTTACATCATTTGGCGGCGTCTTTGATGTGCAGCATCAACATCTAACTTGTTTCTTTTTGGCAATTTGTACAGTTATAATGATTAAGTATTTTGTTTAAAATACTTCTTTGTTAACAATTTACTACTTTAATGACAAAATCTTTCATATGAAGTGCTACATTTTTCAGGTCATACGCGTCTAACATGCTCTGAAAACATTATTTAAACGTTATAAAGCTCATGTTAACTTTTTTTTAAAGTAAAAATGTATTCGTTTCTGTTGGATATGTGCCTTTAATATTGCTGTATCAGACATTACAAAACAAGCGTCTGACGGGTTGGATTTTAAACAAATCTTCACGTGACTACGTGTGGTCTAGAATAAGGACGTTTTAATATACATTGTATCATGGAATCAATAACAACAGAAGCATGTTGTAACTTGTTTTAACCACTAAAACATTTTATTTTTTTGCTCTTAAGACGTGGTGTTTTTTTTTTGTTTTTTTTTTTTTTTTTTGAACATTAAGAGAAACTTCTGAACACTTGTTTGGCCATTTAGCGAAAAATACAATATTACCAAGTAACACTTTGTTACCTATTTAAACATTTAGAAAAAAGGATTTTTTTTAATCAATTGTCTATATCTTTTAAAATATTTTGTCATGCTTAATCTTTCTTGAAAAGTATAAAGAGGGGTATGGAAGATAATGGTAACTTTGTCCATTTTCTTTTTCAAATTGCGATGTTTCGTTGCTATTTTGTTGATGGGGTTTTTGTTGGACCTTCCTTGACAAAGATTATGATGGAATAATGACACTTTGTCATCCATTATCACGAGAAAGACAACCTATACAATGATGGCAAAACAAGGACTCCATAGTTGCAACTTTGTTTTTTACTTAAATATCAGTTAACATATACAATGATGGCAAAACAAGGCATCCATAGTTGTGACTTCGTTTTTGACTGAAATATTAGTTGACATATACAATGATGGCAAAACAAGGCCTCCATAGTTGCGACTTTGTTTTTACTGAAATATCAGTTGACATATACAATGATGGCAAAACAAGGCCTCCATAGTTGCGACTTTGTTTTTTTACTGAAATATCAGTTGACATATACAATGATGGCAAAACAAGGCCTCCATAGTTGCGACTTTGTTTTTTACTGAAATATCAGTTGACATATACAATGATGGCAAATTAAGGCCTCCATAGTTGCGACTTCGTTTTTGACTGAAATATCAGTTAACATATACAATGATGGCAAAAACAAGGCATCCATAGTTGCGACTTCGTTTCTGACTGAAATATCAGTTGACATATACAATGATGGCAAAACAAGGCCTCCATAGTTGTGACTTCGTTTTTGACTGAAATATCAGTTGACATATACAATGATGGCAAAACAAGGCCTCCATAGTTGCGACTTCATTTTTGACCGAAATATCAGCTGACATATACAATGATGGCAAAACAAGGCCTCCATAGTTGCGACTTCGTTTTTGACGGAAATATCAGTTGACATATACAATGATGGCAAAACAAGGCCTCCATAGTTGTGACTTCGTTTCTGACTGAAATATTAGTTGACATATACAATGATGGCAAAACAAGGTCTCCATAGTTGCAACTTTGATTTTTACTGAAATATCAGTTGACATATACAATGATGGCAAAACAAGGCCTCCATAGTTGCAACTTCGTTTCTGACTGAAATATCAGTTGACATATACAATGATGGCAAAACAAGGCCTCCATATTTGCGACTTCGCTTTTGATCGAAATATCAGTTGACATGTACAATGATGGCAAAACAAGGCCTCCATATTTGCGACTTCGCTTTTGATCGAAATATCAGTTGACATGTACAATGATGGCAAAACAAGGCCTCCATAGTTGCGACTTCGTATCAGTTGACTTGGTAGATATAGGAAGAAAAACTAATACAACTATTCGCTTGGCATAAATTATTGGAAACGGAAGTGACAAGGCTGGTTGAATAAAAAAGAAATATTGATGGGTGAAAAACAGAACCATTCTTCGCACATAATCAATTCGTATTCGCAGGAAAAACCTCAGTCTGCGAAAGATGTCATATGGCAATAATGGATAAGACACTTGTTTGCTCTCTCGTCCTTGTAATAGGTATATTTAAATTTATGTAACAAACATTTTTAACAGTAACAAAAAAAAATGAAATAAAAGACAAATATATATAGTTTTTATGAGCACTAAGGAATGGATCTTTAAGCAATACTTTAATAATAATTTTGCAAATGTCATTTTCCGTGCCGCTTGAATTACCAGTTGAAAGAATTATGATAGTATCATAAGGTACAGTTACCGCTATTTATTTATTTTTATTTTCTGTATTTATTTATTTTATTGTTGTTGTTGCTGTCGTTGCTGCTGCTGTTGTTGTTGTTGTTTTTACAACCAGTAGGTTACCTACGAAACAAAATTGTATATCGATTTATTGTTATCAAGGAAAAAACGTTTAGGAAAACCGGCGGCCGACAAACCGAGAAATGACCAAAAAATCGGGATAAGATCAGCGTAAAACCAAACAAAACGACCTATATAATTTTAAGTTCATGCAATTTCTATTACATGCCTTCTCTATTGAAATTTTAATGTTTCAGGATTCCAGAGGAATTTCGCTTACCCCGACCCTTTCTATGTCTGGCCGTTAGCACCAGGTCAGGCTGCCGCTGAAATTGCAAGTTTAGATCAATCATCTGCAGGCACTACTGGTTGTCTATTGGGCACTTCCGGGCATCCATCACTCGATTACGCTGCCCTGAAACTGAGTGGATCTCCAAATTCTTATGTGGAATTCACGTTAGAAACCAGCGAGATAATTCAGGATTTTTCATTCATGTTATTTGTTTTACCTGAGGGAGTTTCTGGTACTCTGTTTCAATACGAAAAGCAAGACATGAATTCTGGGAGCGGGGAAATAAAGATGATAACGCTTTTCTACAATGACTCAACACTTTATTTAGATGCAAAAGGAGAAAACTCTACTGACACTTTACTTACTATTTCTTTAGTAACGTACATTCAGTCCAACGACTGGACGCCTATTATAGTATCCTATGATCAAGGATCGGAGGAATTTGAAATTTTTGCGGGAAATGTTTCCATTAAGCAAAGCCATGTCCGAGAGAAGCCGTTACTTGGACTTCCGGGAAAAGTTAAAGTAGGTGGCACTTTTAATCAAGATGGCGCGTACCTTGGACGGATGACATGCTTGCATTTTTACGAAGACAAAACATCTGACAATGACTTTGGCGATGCATTACTGAGATGTATGTCAAATTTATGGCCGTCTTCTTTATCAGCTGGTATGATTTTTTTCACATCATTATCATCATCATCATCATCGTCGTCGTCGTCGTCATCGTCATCATTATCATCATCGTCATCATCGTCATCATCATCATCATCATCATCGTCGTCGTCGTCGTCGTCATCATCATCATCATCATCCTCATAATCATTATCATTACTTTTATTCTAATATTGATATCTATAAGATGAAGCGTTTGTTAAATGTTATCTCGTTATGTAATAACGCATAAAATAGATATTTTGGATTTAATCACGCAGCAAAAATTGCTTCAATTTGAATATTACTTTAAAGGCACATTTAGCTTAATGAATTATATTGTTTTTATTTTTCCAAAGCTTTTTAGTTTTTTTGTCCTGTTAATATCTCATTGGGCATATTGTTTAGTCATACTTTGTTTCCTTTGCATTTTGGTGAATATATTAAATCAGGTACGTATATTTACTTTAATATACGTACCTGATTAAATTAATAAAGTTGTATTTTGTACGGAAGTCAAAATATTACCTTGTTTATATTTTGCTACATTTATTAGAATTAAATTCACATTCAACATTATTTAAATCAAGTGAGGAGCATCTTGTATAACATTATCTTATAAATATGTGCCCTTTCTGAATAATGAAAAAAAAATTATTATGTGCCTTTAATCAGCCCTAATATTTTTGAGAGAAAAAAAAACAACATATCTATTTCCAAACAAAAACGATTTCAGTGCACATACAGATTCTCCATGTCAAATATATACTATGCTCAAATTTGATTTTAAAAATATTGATAATTGCTATACACAGTCACCTTATAAAGATAAAATAAAAATGTTTAGACTTTACACAAAGTAGATATGTTATGTTTTGAACTCACACTATAGGTGGTCACAATAGTGTCATCATAAAAAAACTGGCCGTTTTTTTGTTGTTTTTTTTTTAAGAAAAAAATTTATTTGATCTGTAATAGGGACCGCAGCTTCCCATACATAGTGAATGAATTCTTTTTACTCAAATTAGAAATATATAGTACTTTAATAAATTTCTTTGATTAAGATATTTTACTCAACGATAAGCATAGTATTTATTATATACTTGAAAATGAAATATTGAGAAATGTTGATGAAATTAAATGTGTATTTTCATTTTTCCGTATTTTCACTGAAAAAAATTATTTTCACTGCAGTAAAACATATTTTCCGTATTTACACTGGTCTCTAACCGGACTACTTTCTTTCAATTTCTGCCAGTACAGAAGATGTAAGGGAAAGTCTTTCAATTTGTAATGTCAGAAAAGAGAAAGCATGTACATAATAAACAGAAAATTCTAATTTTTTTCTATAAATACATGATTTATTTTCATCTTGTGGCATTAAAATTATCGCCACTTATGAAATATTTATTTTCATACCACTCGATGAAAATATATCATGTATTTATAGAAAAAAACTTGAATATCCTCTTATATCTTTAAAAGCCTTTAAGAATTATTTATTTATTTATTCTTTAATAAAGTTTATTGTCTTGTATCACTCGTAGGTGTTTACAGCATGATCACACTAGCATGGCTAGGATTTTGTCATGGGAAACGGACAAAAGCCCTTCCGGACAAAAGCCCTCCCGTCAAAAATGACAAGGCGGACAAAAGCCCTCCCGTGAAAATGACAGGGCGGACAAAAGCCCTCCCTTGAAAATAATAGGGCGCTTATGTCATATTCGAAAGTCGCCAATATTGATACATTTACTATAGAGTTATTGCCCTTTCTGCAATAATAATTTTAACAATAGTTTGGGTGTTTATTTAGCTGCAGGGTAGAAGCATCAAAATATGTTGCTTGCGACTATTCATAATGTCAATGATCGGTTAAATATCAGTCTTTTCTATTTTATCCTAATAGCAAAATTTAATTTGAATGAAATGTTTTTGCAATTACATTTTTACATTCGGAAACTACAAAATATATGGTTAAATTATTTGGCAGGAAGCATGACATTGTCAAAATAACTCTAGTCCCTGGGCATATTTAATTTAATAAATATTTTTAAAAAAATACGGAGATTTTTTTTTATTTTATTTTAGCTCAGAACCTATATATTTGCCATGTGGCATCACACTGTTCCATTATACAAAAGTCATATAAAACATGCTCCTAGGGTTAAATTTTATGTTATTTTGCAACCAGCATTTCATAGTAGATCTTTAAAAAGGGTATCTAATTCATGTTCCTTGGTTCAAAATAAACCTGCCCTCGGGTCATGTATTTTATATAGACTGATATTTCAATTTTGACTTCAAAATCTTTCCTCTAACGTCCATTGAACAGAGCATAAATATTCGGCATGTAGCCTCACGTTTTGGTCTTTTAGTAAAGTGATATAAGTTACCTCCCTTGGTTCAAAAAGTGCCCCCTCCCCGAGCTTCACTTAGTGGTGTTGCCTTGTGTCATTAAATCACGCCACTGGGGCCTTGTTTTCACTTAACTTGATGCCCAGAGCTTTAATATTTGGTATGTATTATTTCCAAGCGAACGTGTGCAAAAGTACTTGTGCAATTTTTTTTTAAAAATGCAGCTTGGGTAAAAAATGACAAACAAATGTGACCAAGAAACAAACATTTGCATCGGAAAAAAAGTGACGTTTGCTAGCAATGTATCTGAGATAGGTGACTCAGTGCCACCATAAAGCTATTTTTTATATTTGTTTTTCTCTTTTTAGATAATACGTTTCCTTCATGTGAATCTAAGGAAGGATTCTACAAAGTCATATCAAGAGGGACACCGCCGGCTGCAATCAACCCAATAGCAAACATGACCAGTACTACTAAAATAAAATGTGCACAATTCTGTTCGTTGCCTACCAACGCATGTGTGTCATTTGCTATAAATAAACTGGATAACACCTGCAGTCTGTATGACGTAGATGCATCGTCATATTTGATTGGTGACAAAAATAGCTTGTATTATGTCTCAAACGCGCTGATTGGTTGTTGTTGAATTTATTCTTGCTTATATCATTTCAAATAACAGCAAAAAACCAAGTACCTGCTTTGTTTCGGCTGGAATGAAAGTTTTAGAAAACTGACTGAAAGAATGTCAGAATCTGTTTCCAATCTTTGGACTCGTGCAATGAGCACGTGCAGTGAACATTATTCAGTTTCATCAGACGAAATATATGAATATATGTAGTATCGTGTAAAGGTTGCAGTTATTTTGTGATTCGAAGATATTATATATACTCCTTTCTTTTGTTAACTGGTTTACCACGTCCACATAATACTTCAATTTAATTTTGATAGTTTATAGATAAATATTTATATAAAAAAAGAAAGTTTATTTAATGAACACTTGAATATTTCAAGTCACTGAACTGATCAAAGTCACAAATAAAATGTACATAATCTTATCTTGTGGTGGAGGTGGTGTAGCCATTATGAAAACAATTATTGACAATTTTATTAATTAACTTTACATTATCTAAAAAAATGTTAAGTGCGTATACTAAGTAAACAAAAAATAACTAATGTGAAATTCCGTTGTTGTAAGGTATTGCAAATGACATTCTTGTTTAAAAAAATGTCTGGGATACCTACCTTGCAGCAATTCAAAATGGCGATTTTTTTTTCAATGAAATATATCATTATATATTCAAAATATGCACAAATAGCCCTTACTGCGTTAGTGGCGCAGTAGAAATATAGTTTTAAATACTAAAAAATCAGTCATTAACCGCACAAAACATGGAAAATACTACTTGAATATTGAATCATTATACTTTTTTCTAAAATCGTAGTACATACTTCTCAAATTTGATTTTATTGAAATATTTTGACTCATCTGGAGGCATGCAGCTTTAAATGTTTACACTACCACTGCGCAGTTTAGATGCGTGAAACAGAAATATGGATATATGTAAAAGTTTTCACAGATCACAAATTTTCACTTATTCCATTTGTATGATCAATAAGCGGTGGTAGACAGGCCCATGCAATTAATTTGTTTGAAGTTTACGTTTTCCCTAAGGGAACAATGGGGTGTATATCTAATCATTTTTATTGATCATAAAAAATCAATTTTTTCTTCTGCTTGTGAATTTTCTCTTCATGATTCCTCTGAAGATAGGGATCTCTGTCAGAATTTTGCAATGACTAATTCTTAACAAAAAGGCAGCTAAGAGCACACTATTATCATAGATAAGACAACACCTCAAAGCAGAATTTATTATTGTCATAGAAGTTACACGAATGCGTGTTATTCTGGTATGACTTGTAACAAAGCCGAGGCTGCATCAGATAAAAGAATAAAATGGTTAAAAAAGAGGCTTTAAACTCGCTATGAAACACTGTGTATGGCCAGAAATGCAGGAATATGAATTGTATAATAATAACGCAGAATCGTGCAATTCTAGGGACGAAACGAGCACCACGTTAAGTAAAAAAAAACTTATTCATTTAATAGAAATAAAATTGAAATAAATGAATTAGCGCATTTGATTGCTAATGTATTTTCTTTTCAATTAAAATATTTCAGACAAAAATGTTTGTTTTTTTAAGATCATTCACGAGACTGACCTTGACCTTGTAAGTGTGTTGAAGACAACTTTTGTTTCGTTCATCCGCATTAAAATACAAATATACGATTGTTTTATATGTTTGGTATACACGAGATATTTGCCTCTTCACTTGTAAAATTAGCAGATAAAATGTAACTGAAAATATTTACGAGGCAATGCCGATTTCGTAAATTATGCACTGAATCAATGCTGGTTAACACATAAAAAGTACCTGAATCATATTTTATCTGCTTCCTTCTAACATCCTATGACACTAGATGTTTCGCAAATGTCTAAGGTATACCGAATATCTAAATAATTAAGTTTAAAATGTATTATTGTTTTTATAAATATAGACGAAATTAAAAAGGTTGCTATCAGAACGGAAGTTAGATCGTCATTCTCACGAATGATCCTTGAAAGTCAACATAGTCCTCTATATATTTGTAATGACGGTTGAAGTATAATGCCATAGACGCCGTATGCGCTTATTCTTTATTTTATTTATTTTTTTTAATTTAATTTAGAACAACAATATATGCGTTCTTTTCACATTCCTGCGTAAATGGATATAAAAGCATATTCTTTATACATTGTACATGTTATCCTGATGAATAAAGTCATTTTTTTTTTAGGGGGGTATTTTTTATTTATTTTTTCTATTTTGGTTAACAAGGTTACAATAACAAAATAATGAATTGTCAACAATTAATAAGCACAATGCATTTATCATTCAGCATCAGATTTAATATGATAATGTAAATACGTACAAGTTTGAAGTAGAAATTATCAAGACTTTTCAAGCCCAGTTTATGTTCAACCGTTTTCTAAATTATAGCTCCTTTAATGTAATGCATTATATGAGCCGCGTCACGACAAAACAACATAGTGCGTTTGCGACCAGCATGGATCCAGACCAGCCTGCGCATCCGCGCAGTCTGATTAGGATCCATGCTGTTCGCTATCAGTTTCTTGTTATAGAGTTGGTAAGCGAACAGCAAAGATCCTGATCAGACTGCGCGGATGCGTAGGCTGGTCTGGATCCATGCTAGTCGCAAACGCACTATGTTGGTTTTGTCATGACGCGGCTCATATATTGCTTTTACGCATGTTTCTTTTTATAAGTCAACATGGAAAACTAGCGTACCAACGAACCGTCACTAACTTCAACGATCAGTTTAATAATCTATTTGCTAATAGATTAAAGAATAGTTTATTTAATTTTATACGTAATGCTGCAGACGAAACTTAAACATTTTCCATCAGCAAAACGTTTTTTTTTTGTTTTTTTTGCCTCTGAAGTTCTGGTCAATTTCAATAGGACGTTATACATCATGTAGGTCTCCATCAACAAGGGAAACAACTCGAACAACCGAAGATAAAACAAGACACCTGAATAATCGACCCTAATAAATAATACTCACAGGTGACAATTCCCCTTAGAAGTTAGATTGAGCTGCACATCGTGAAAATGGAGGATAAACAAGGAAAACATGTTGGACATGGGCTGGTGTTTTGACTTTATGTAAAACACAGCTCAGTATATGCTTTATGGCTAATGAATGTCAACCTGTCCTCATTATTAAAGATAAGAAGAAAAATTACTTCTTAAATTCAAGTCAATTAAGGTAAGGAGTTAAGTTCATGCAGTTCAGTTGTGACAGTTATAGTTGCAAATTTCAAATCACTACAATACCACGCTTATGGTGACCTTAACACGCTCCAGGTCCATTTGTCGTCGCCGCATCAGCGCAGTACTTTAGGACGCCTCTCCAACGTAACGGCACTATTTACATTGTACTTTGTTTTAGGTCTTCATATTGTCTTCAATAAATATCTGTATCATTATAAACAGATTCTAGTCATTTCATTGCCACAATTTGTACCTGGCCAGTAATATTTTGTGATTTAAATGGCCCAATCTGATCTTCTTAAACGTTGTATATACTGTACACTTTGCCAGTTAAATTTATCTTTGTCATGTTGTTGCATTATGCTTGTTGTTAATGTTTAATTCATGCCGAACCGGGCCTAGTTCTTAATAAAAGTTGAAAGTTGACAATCACACATGATGTGCTGATTATAATGCATGTATATTTGTTACATTACTTGTAAATGAAAATTGTATGAATGATATTTGAAACAAACTAAATTATGCTTGCTATTGGACCAACTCTTATTGAGACAATGGAATAGTTGTTATTGTTTAATGCTATTGTGTTGGTGTGCATTGGTGTTTTATATATTGTTTAGTAAGCCATTTTATGATCTAACATTTAAGATAGGTTATTTGCTGTTTACGATAATATATTTATATATCTTCATGTGTTACCTTCTTCTAAATAAAGATTTTTTCAGTATTTGCTGATGGCTGAGTGGTAAAGGTTGTTGACTCTTAACCACTTTCCCCTCACCGTTGTAGGTTCAAATCTCAAAAGATGATTTGAAAAGAATCAGCTTGTAAAGGGTTAACTCGTCGCAAACACCATAAGTTCATATTCTATCTAGTTCGAGAAGGCATGAAGTGACGTATAAAAACGACCTTTGTCTATTTCAATTTCTCAGACGAAAACGCTGAGAATACTTTTTAACAATTTTGAGCGAAACGTACTCCTTACAAAATTTGACTTTAATTCATAAATTTTTCCCAAGAATGTAACTAGTAATGCTTTGCAAGGATAACACAAGTTAAATTTCAAGTTTATTATCAAGTTAAGATTTTCATTCTGTCTTCTTTACTTCGTCCACGTGCATCGAAATTATTTGGTAAAAGGTATGTCATGCATGTGTTGAAACTGGTCCTTGACCAATGCAATAAAATGGTCGTGAATGATTATCTGTTCTTTGTAATGATGTACACTGAGCACTGAAGTTCTACTACATTTGTTCAAGCTTTAAAGAATACGGTGTGTTGAAAAAGAATTGATACTTTAAATGACTTTAATGATTCGTATGTATTACCATACAATTGATGGATTCGGCAAAATAGAGAGAAATAAAGAGTGTCTAAAGAACGCAGCCACAATACAAAAGGAAAACATCGATGTTGGTTTTAGAATTTTTATTTCACAAAAACAATCCATAACAAATAAATTATACACTAACAAAAAAAATATAACAATCAATAATTTAATTAATAATTAATTTAGCACATTTTGAAAACTAATCACCAATCACGTTGTTTTGTTGACATCCTGTCTGAGTTTAAACTGGAGTTTCTTCAAGTTTGCCGATACATCGTTTGTCCACCACTGAATAAATCTGAAATATAAAGCAAAGAATGATAATTAAAGTGAGCACAAAACCATGAGTGACATAAAACAGAAATGTATGTAATAACACACATACATGTTTAAGATTCGAATAATTGTAAATGTAAAACACAAAACATAGATCTTTTAAAACAAAAAACTCGGCTAAAAATCACACAAGAACCGTTTAAAATTCATTAAAAGTGAACTTACCCTATCAAATAATGTTTTTGAAGCTTTATGTTGACTGTAACATCTTGTAGAAAAGAGCAGTTTCTCAGCTCTACCGACCTTCATACATCTCTCAATAAAATCTAAACATGCTTTGCTCAAATCTGGTAGCTCAAAATGGGAGGCAGCACAAAATAAACCTGAAATTCATTCAATAAATGTCTTTGTAAACAAGCAAAAGTATTTAAAATATAGCAAATCCAGTCGATTACAGTACAGATGCAGCTCTTTTCAAAACGTTTAGGAATGGATTTTCCCTTTTGTCGATATTGTGATTTGATTAGATTTATTTACGTATATTCAAGAAACGCATAGATATTTACCAGCAACTGTTTCCTCGGTGATATTCACAATTCCACAGTGAATAAATTGGACCAACATTCGGAACACCTCAGAATCGTATTTCTTGACAGGGATAACAAGTCTTTGAGATAATGACCGACCCCTTCCAACAGCCTTGCACGTGCCTTTCTTTGACTTCTTGTTACTTTTGGCGTTTCTTTTTTTGTCAGCAGCTTCCATAGACATATGTTTTAAAATCAGTTGATACATAACTCTGAAATAATATATGGATACATTAGATTAATCATTCAAAACGAGTTTCAAATCGTTCATGATTATATTACTTTTCAATATTGGATTAAGGGCTAGGCAAAAATGTCATCTTTACCAACATGAATTCATCCCACGTGGTCCAACAACAAATGTGACGTCGCACATCTCGGGCATTGCTAAAATTAGTTTCAGGTGTTCTGAGAGCGAATGTGTGCTTCTAAAGTTCATGATTTCTTCATCTTTGTTCATTGGTAAGAAGTTATTATGACTGTCCTGTAATCTGCTGTCAAGGCTGTCACGTGACCCCCAAGAACTGACTGACTCCATATCTGAAGATTCATAGCCCGATGAGGAATCTGAAAAAATAATAATAGAAACCACTTATTTAGAATAGTAATTAAACTAATTCAGTGTAAACACCATACATGTATATAAATATCTCAGAAAAACACGTAAGATATTCATTAAGATATGTATGTCTACTTAAAACTCAATCAAAAATGATCATATCGAAAAATAATTTTAATCTTATAAACACTATAAAAATAGTGTTACGTACCTTCATAATCGTAATCAAAGGCTTTATTGGCGAACAAATCATCGTTTCCAGCAGTGTCCATCAATGGTAGGGTTGTATATGATGAATACATGTTCTATTATTAGATTTATTGTACTGTTGTTCTTTAATGGCAAGATCGTAAATGATAGAATTTAAGATACTGATTTTGTGTGTTTTATATACGTTTTAATGTCTCAGCTTACCTTGATCACTTTTTTATGGCTCTGACAGCTTTTTTATTGCCCTGACAGAGCAATTCTTGTCACTTCATGATATATTGATCTTATTAGTTACTGGGAGATCTTAGAATAAATCTGACGCTTAAAAGTGTGAAAAACAGTTGGTTTGACTTTTTGTTTGTAAATTTTAATGACATTAAAATATATTAAACAACCATGATATAAAAAGCATGTTTTTCGCAGGTTTGTTGTCTTAAATTCTAGTTAAAATCTAATGCCATTTAGAAATTTGATTGTAGAAATTTAAGGATATTAAGTATTTAATTTTACCACTTTATTGCCAATAATGCACGCAATAATTACAGTTATAAAGTTTATGTCAACATGCAGCAAAATACATATATATAAAGATAATATGTTTATAAAGTGTCTCTGATGCAGTCTAAATTTGTTTCAATATTCATGGAGCTAAATATATATACGAGTATATATCTGTGCAATATCTTATCAATAAATTACCAAAAATATTTGAAATTCGGTGCAGGCCTTACATAAGTGAAGACAGGGAGGTACATTTAGGTTCCTGGTCGAAGTATACGCTATTTTGCTCAGTGAATATAACAGATGGAAAGAAATGCCCCTTCAGAATTGTAGCAGTTACTGTAAAGTCTGATTAAAGAAATTCATCATTATAAAAAGGTATGGGGATATATTTCTTAAACAAACTTTACTATTGACTACTATTGACAAGTACATCGGATAATCTTATTTTTCGTTATAAATTCTACTTATAAATATCATATGTCTGTATAATTCTGGTCCAAAAACTGTATTAATCTATTATTATTATTATATATTATTATTATTATTATTATTATTATTATTATTATTATTATTATTATTATTATTATTATTATTATTATTATTATTAACGTGTCTAATAATAAAATAATAAAACCATTTTTACTTTGTAACAGTTTTCAAATAGTATCAAAAAATACATGATGATCTATCAGGAAGCTGGAGCAATCTTCTCGGCCTTTTCCGACAAACTTCGGATAAGGTTATTATTATTAGAGAAATGAGCCGTGTCACGACAAAATCAATATAATGGGTTTGCGACCAGAATAGATCCAGACCAGCCTGAGCATCCGCGCATTCTGATCAGGATCCTTGCTGTTCGCTATCAGTTTCTCTACGCGGATTTGCAGGCTGGTCTAGATCCATACTGGTCGCAAAAACATTATGTTGGTTTTGTCGTGACGCGGCTCATATAACTTCAATTTGGTTAGCTGGAGTAATGGTTGAATGAGAAAACCTTTTGAGCATCATATCGTTTTGATGAGTCTAATCAAACAGATACTGCTTCGGCGTTATTTGAATTTGGTTTCTATTACCAAGTTTATCATAAACGATGTGTATTACCTTTGTATTATATTTTAAAAACTCGTCTGAGCTTAGCTCACTAACGCATAAGGGCTCAATCGTGAGCCTTAGTGGTATCATGGTGTGCATCGTATGATATGTGACGAACAATTACTTTAAAATCATACTATGCCATACAAATGAATCATCTTCATTTAACATATGTTTATAGCATTGAAATATGGTTTTAGAGCTTGTAAGCACACTTATAACCTTGATCATTGATCGTTTAAGTATTTTGACTGCCATACAAAAAAATCTTAATCACAACCGTACTACAATTAATAACAAAATGGCAAAAGATGATTCAGGTAACTTTTTGGAAACTAAAACCAGACAAAATATAAAAAGCTTTTAAGAAATTAAAAGAAAAACATTTCTGGGACATAATGGGCTTTAATTTAAACAACATTTCTTCCTTATCCACTTTCCTTATTTCTGTAATGAATGATCCTTAGATGAACCTCTTTAAAAGTTGTAGGGCACAGGGAGTTTCAAAATATCAAAAGGATAAATCTAATTATATGCATATATATATAGTTGTATTAATTCAAACCACAAGAGTTATTCTTTTTACCAAATCAACTTACTGAGGTTATACAGTCTTAAATGTAGGGGAACACATTTTGTGAACTACTTGGCCTTAGTTAATACAGAAATTATTTTTGCTCAATTGTATTCGAAGCAATTAAATTATTGAAACAGTAGAATCAGTTCTGGAACCAACCAGTACTTAACAATAATTGTAAAGTTTTTTGCTCATCTAGTTAGCAATTTAACATATAGTGAAGTAATATCGTAAAGGTGGCAGTTATTTTGTGATGCGAAGATATCATATAGATATACTCCTTATTTTTGTTAACTGGTTTACCACGTTCTGTTTCAGATAATAATACTTCAATTTAATTTTGATAGTTTATAGATAAATATTTATAAAAAAAAAGAAAGTTTATTTAATGAACACTTGAATATTTCAAGACATGGAACTGATCAAAGTCACGAATAAAATGAAGGAATATATACATGTACATAGTCTTATTTTGTGGTGGAGGTGGTGAAGCCCAAAAACAAGACCATTATGAAAACAATTATTGACAATTTTATTAATTAACTTCACATTATCTAAAAAAATGTTAAGTGCGTAAACTAAGTAAACAAAAAATAACTAATGCGAAATTCCGTCGTTGTGAGGTATTGCAAGTTTAAAAAAAATGTCTAGGAAACCTATCTTTCAGCAACTCAAAATGGCATTTTTTTTTCAATGAAAAAAAAGCAGATTCATAATGGTCGAGCTAGAGAGCCAATCGAAATTCACCAATTTCATAATAGCTAAGTTTTCTCTTTTAGGACCAACTTGGCATAATGGCCTTGTTTTATGTTCATAATATAGTTGTGAACTTCATATTAGCCTTACATTTGAAGTGAAAACGTGCCTACTATTGATATGTTTATTAATAAAAGAACATATTTGTTAATGATAAGGAATTGAATACAGTTAAACAAAGGTCAATATATAAACATAAAGTAATGAATTATACAATAATAATACAGGCTATTTATTCGTCCGAAATAACTCTTAATTTACAAACATATAGGCTGAGCGATTATTCGTTTACTTTTAAGGCAGCACGCCTCCAGATTCACGCTAATTTTCATAAATATTTTGAAAATTTATTTGAATGTATAATGACGTTAAATAACCAAAAGGAAACAATAAATACATTATCAATGGAACTCACATTCCACGTAAATTACCAAAAAGTGGTCAAAATATGCACAAATAGCCCTTACTGCGTTAGTGACGCAGTAGAAATATAGTTTAAAATACTCAATAATCAGTCATTAGCCGCACAAAACATTGAAAATACTACTTGAATCTTGAATCATTTTACTTTTCCTAAAATCGTAGTACATACTTCTCAAATTTGATTTTATTGAAATATTTTGACTCATCTGGAGGCATGCAGCTTTAAATGTTTAAACTACCACTGCGCAGTTTAGATGCGTGAAACATAAATATGGATATATATATATACATGTAATAGTTTTCACAGATCACACATTTCAACCTATTCTATTTGTATGATCAATAAGCTTTTTTCGAGACAGGCCCGTGTAATTAATTTGTTTGAAGTTAACGTTTTCACTAAATGAACAATAGAGTGTATATCTAATCCTTTTTATTGATCATGAAAAATCAATTTTTCTTCTGCTTGTGAATTTTCTCTTCACGATTCGTCTGTAGAAAGTCATCTCTGTCGGGATTTTGCGATGAAAAATTATTAACAAAAAAAAAAAAAAAACCAGCTAAGAGCACACTTTTATTATGAATAAGATAAGACCTCAAAGCGAAAATTTATGACTGCCATTGAAGTTCCTCGAATGCCTGTTATTCTGGTATGACTTGTAACAAAGCCGGGGCTGCCTCAGATAAAAGAATAAAATGTTTAAAAAGAGGCTTTAAACTCGCTATGAAACACCGTGTATGACAAGTAATGCAAGAATATGAATAGTATAATAATACCGCAGAATTGTGCAATTCTAAAGACGAAACGAGCACCACGTTAAATAAGAAAAACTTATTAATTTAATAGAAGTTAAATTGAAATAAATGAATTAGCGCATTTGATTGCTAATGTATTTTCTTTTCAATCTGATTTAAATATTTCAGACAAAAATGTTTGTTTTTTTTAAGATCATTCATGAAACAGACCATGTCCTTATTAGCGTTTTAAAGACAACTTTTGTTTCGTTCATCCGCATTAATACAATTAAACGATTGTTATTTATGTTTGATATACCAAAGACATTTGTTGTATTTTACTCTTGTAAAATTACCAGATAAAATTTAACTGACAATTTTTACGAGGTAACGCCGATTTCGTAAATTATGCACTGAATCAATGCTTGTTAACACATAAAAGGTACCTGGATCATATTTTATCTGCTTCCTTCTAACATCTTATGACACTAGTAGTTTCGCAAATGTCTAAGATATACCGAATAACAAAATCAAATCACCGAAAGTACTGAAGTATACATTGCTTGATAATATAAACCTTTTTTTGTCATCAAGGCCATGTTGATTTTAACCTACTGACCTCAAAAACAAAGGGGTCATCTTCTGACCAAGGTCAATGTCCCTAACAAGTGACTCACATGCACCAAGAATTTTTTCTTCCAATGTTATTTATGAGACAAGGAAGATGTGATATTTCATCTGTGTATTGCTAAGCAAGCTGATAGATGAGCAATAAAGAAATCATTTTTTGAAATACTCGTTAAATTGACTGCAGTATAGAATATTGAAACAGTAATATTGAGTTTCCAGATGCTATCGAATAAAAACATGATCTGGCTTGAACTCTATACAAAGTCAATTAATTGAATCTTCAATTACTTAAATATATTTTTTTCTTTTTATATTTATGTGACCAAGCTACTAGTATTTATAATTATTTATAACTTTTTGTTGGTTTTTTACAGT